ACAAAATCATCAACTAGGAAAGATGTAAATAGTAGCATCTGGAAAGAGAAAGCTGCAGACAGTGCAAGAGAGGTGATGAGTACTGTTTTTCGCAACAAACTTGAAGAACTTTCTGACTTGGTAGTTCTCACCCTGACAACACAATGAAATTAGGCATAGTCAGTACTGTAGCACATGCCTGTAGTTCCAGGTGTTTGGGAAGTTGAGGCAGAGAAATTGCTTAAGTCCAGGAGTTCAACACTAGCCTGGACAACATGTACAGACCCTGCCTTGAAATACAAACAAACACACAAGCACACAAAACCTGATAGCTGGAGGTCAACCCTAGGTCAAATGAATCAGAACCACAAGAAATGCAGCTTAGCCAGGCATGGTGGTGCATGCCTGTAATCCCAGCACTCAGGAGGCTGAGGCAGGAGGATTGTTTCAAGTTTGAGATCAGCCTGGGCTACAAAGTGAGCTAAAGGCCAGCCTGAACTGCACAATGAGACCCTGTCTCAAAAAGACACACACACACAAAAAGATGCAGCTTGAGTACAAATAGTTTTAAAAGGGGCTCTGAATATTTCAGATGCACAGAAAAAATGGAGAACACAAATTTTTTTGTCTTTTTTTTTTTTTTTTTTTTTTTGAGACAGAGTCTTACTATGCAGTTCAGGCTGGGCCTTGAGCTCACTTTGTAGCCCAGGCTGGTCTCGAACTTGAAACGATCCTCCAGCCTCAGCCTCTCAAGTGCTGGAATCCCAGCAGACATGCTCCACCATGTCCTGCTACATAGCGCATCCCGTAATGTAGTGGTTATCACATTCACCTCACATTCTGCTACAAATTCATACATATATATGAGTTACTTTCATAGAAATAAAAAGTAATATTTAAATACACATGAAATACACTACTGTACTTAAATGAAGAAACATTTAAGAAACACAAATACGGTCATAAAATATTCATATATGCAAGACATATGTAACAAGCAAACTAGGTGCTCAAGAAGTACTACATCAAGACAGGCGGGAGCCTGGCCATGCTGCCAACAGCAAGGGGTAAAGCTATGCACAAAAATTTAAAAAGATAAAAAGAAGAGAAAAAGGAAAAGAAGGGAAGGAATAATATATCAAGCCATGAATGGTACTGCATGCCTGTAATCCAAGTGTGCTGGGAGGCTGCAGAAGGAGAAGTAGAAATTTTGAGTTTGGGTCTACCCTGGGCAACTTAGCGATTTAGTGAGACCTTATCTCAAAATTTAAAAACAAAACAAAACAAGGCTAGGGATATTCAGTGTGAAAGCCCTAGGTTGTAACACACACACGCATGCACGTGTGCACACACACGCACAGATACACACAGATACTGATTTTCCTTTTTTATTAGAAACTTCCAAAATGGTAGTTTTAACACTTCTTCACATGCTTTTGTGGGAGAAGTATATATTAGTATTTTTCATGTGTTCCCACAGACAACGTCAGTTGTGAACTGAATGCATTAAGTCCAAGTAATTTTTAAAAAAACCAAATTGATCTGTGCCATGGTAGGCTCTGCCTACTGCACAAGGGCTCCCCACTCAGTTCTGGAGGTCAGTATGCTCTGGATAATTTAACTTTTCAGAGGGGTGATACTCCCATGGCCCACCCAAGGTAAACAAACACAAATGACCCTTCCTATCATCCCACAGTTGTCCTGGCATCAGAATAGTGAGATCTGGAATAAAATCAGTAAGTAAATTTCCAATTTCACACAGAAGTATTTTTAAAAATCAGCATCAGATATTCACTCTCTATTCAAATAGTGCTCTGGACATAACAGATACACAATGAATGACATTCTTCAGAATATAAAAAGTGGCATACAATAATATCCAAGTTGAGAAAAATAAAATACTTTAAATGCATATGAGGAAACATTACATATAACATGTGACCCCAGGATATCAATATATTTTGTCATATCATTAAACTCTAAAATGAGTCTTTCTCACTGACAAAGTCACAGGGTGCTTCCTGTGAGTCCCACACAGGTACATACTGCCCATGCTCTTCTGTCCTTCAAAGTTTAAGCAAGGTAAACAGTAAGCAAGCCCTTCCTTGCAGCAGCCTCCTACCCCTCCACCTCTCACAACGAAAAGACACAGGTTAAGAAAGTACTCTATACAGCTAACTTTTCTAAAAATCAAACCCTGTAATATGAAACCCAACAAAATGGGTAGCAGGAAATATAATTAAATATTTAAGATGGCTTGGGTGTTCCTAGAATTCAGATTAATTACACTAAATTAAATTAATTTAAAAATATTTTGAGACAGGGTCTTGATAAATAGACCAGGCTTGCTGTGAACTCACAGTGATCCTCCTGCTTTAGCCCCCTGAATGCTGGAATTAAAAGTGTATACCACCATGCCTGGGTTAGAGCATAATTTTTAAAAATAAACCTAACCATGAAAACAAAATGGAAAACATATTTACAGTCAACTCTCTCGGCTACCAGACAAGCTAGATTTTTCAACTGCTCTCCTGAAATAAATTTACTAATGCTTGTTTCTCCCTCTAAATACAAATATGAACACCTACATCAGAAATAGGCTTAAGCAGTAAATTCAAGCACCCAGAAGATTTCTGAATGTATTTGTCACTAATGAATCATTCTAACACAATACAAACGACTCTAAAGATTTTGTTTTCATTTTCCTATAGTAACTGTGGTTTGAATTCTACTATTTAACCCTGAAGTTTTGGCATTTGCTGTTGGCATTCCTTTTATAACCATTGAAAAGCATTGCTTCCATAGTGAAATATATAAAAAAGTATTCCAGTTAGGCCACTGCAACTTATTTTAGGTATTCAGTGTCACTTTTTGTTTGGCATAATTTTTTAAAAATTATGTATACATGAAATAGTATTTTGACTCCCATGTAGGTCAGGTGGATCTGCTGATATCACAGGGGTGAATTCAAGAGACTGCTAAATATGGAGAACCAGCAGAGCTTTGTAACAAAAAAGGGGAAGGATTCAAATTTATTAATTTGAACCTAGAGCCTTGTCCAAAATTGCCAAAGCTGAACTTGATGACACACCCATGAGAAGCACACAGGTTCGAGTTTGTTTTACTACACATGCTGCTGCTCTTTCTGTTCACAATTTTTATCTAATGTTTCCAATGAACTGTTGGAAGAAGGCTTTAACCAGTTTGGTTGTTGTAATTATGCATGATCATGGAACATCTAGAGGGAAAGGCATTGTTGAATTGCTTCGAAAGCAGCAGCAAGAGAAGCATTTGAAAGATGCAGTGCAGATATTCTGCTACTGAAAACTCCTTGGTCAGTCACTGGGGAACCACTGCATGAATAACTGGATGATAAAGATGGTCTTCTTGAGAAACTTGGCCAGAAGAATCCAATGTATCAGAAGGAGAGGGAAATACAACGTTGTTTTGCTCAGCATGGCACATTTGATTATGAACATTCTTAGCAATAGAAATCCTTGGATGAAATGAGAAACAAAGGGAACAAGTTGAAAAAAAAAAATCACAAAGGATACAAAAGATAAACTGGAAAGTGAAATGGAAGACACTTATCATGAATATCATCCAAATCTTTTGCGTCAAGATTTGATGAGATGCTACGAAAAATTAAGGTGCATGGAAGAAGTTCACAGTCAAGAAAGGCAAAAGCTAGGTGTGGTGGCACGTGCTCGTAATCTCAGCACCTGGCAGGTTGAGGCATGATTGCTGTGAGTTCAAGGCCAGCCTGAATTACAGAGCAAGAACCTGAAGAAGGGAGGAAGGGAGAAAGAGAAGAAGGGAGGAAGGGGGCTGGGGATTTAGCTCAGCGGCACAGTGCCTGCCTGGCAAGTGCAAGGTCGTGAGTTCGATTCCCAGTACCGGAAAAAAGAAAAAAAAAAGAAGGGAGGAAGGGAAGAAGAAAGGAAGGAGGAAGGAAGGGAAAAAAGGAAGGAAGGAAGGAAGAGAGAGGGAAAAGGAAGGAGGAAAGGAAGGAAGGAAAGAGGGAGAAAGGGAAGGAAGGAAGAAAAAAGCAACAGAGGGAGGGAGGAAGGAATGTAAAGAAATACAATTGAGACAAGAGGAACAGTGTAGAAAGAAGGAAGAGTTGATGATTTACCAACGTGAGATGGGAGAACAAAGATGCCAAGGAGAGAAAAGTTACAGCTGATATCTCGAGAGAAACAAGAATTGGTGGCAGAGGCACAATGAACATGGAGATCTATATGGCTCAGGAGGTCTGAAATTTCCACCTCTAGGTGGAAAACATGGGCAGCAAGTGTAGGTTATGAAGCTAATTCTGAAATTCCACCCAAGTAGAAGTGGTTCCATGATGGGAAGCAACATGGTAAGAATGACTGATGTTGGCTGATACTAGAATGAACAAGATAGTTCCTTTTCAAGACACCAACCCAGCGTGAACACACAAGGAAAGCCACATGATGCTGTCCTGACAAAGTGGGTCAGCTGTGTCTACAAAACCAGTAAGAGTACAAAGAGGAATGAGCAACTTATTTGTCATTAGTAAAGACATTTAAAAATCTGAAAAGAAAACAGAAACAATATGTTAATATTCAAAGACTATCACTGTGTAATATGAGATAGAAGTTTCACTTAAACTACAGTAGCTCATTGTGTAGAAGGAAAAAATGTCTGAAAACTAAAAAATAAAATTCACCCATATGTTTGTACCTCTATAAAAAGAAATTGTTCTGGGTTATGTAACAAAAATAAACCTCCCACCAGAGATCTTGGAAATCTTGAGTTTTTTTTCCTGCAGGAGGATTTATTAGTTTCCACTGAGTGGCCATTCATGCGCTTTCTTCTCATTTCTATTCATAGCACCAGATTCTGACTAGCAGGCACAACCTCAAATGAAAAGAAACACTAAATATGAATTGTAAAATTAAGTAAAATAAAGCAAATAAAAAGGTGCACATTGAGAGTGGGTACCCCTAAGGTGGTACCGGGAAGTCCACACACGCACTGGCTCTCAGGGCACTCACCTTGTATGCAACGCTGTTGGAAGAATCCACAATGATAAACAGGGGCTTCCTTGTGAAAGGGTAGAGATCTCCAGGATGAAGGCTGGGGAAACAGCAACAACAACAATGAGGAACTGTGTGACCATGGTGGCCAAAGTGTCAGAAATCTTATTCTTCAGTTTGGTCTGCTCATGGCTTCTTTCCATCACAGCACTGAGAGAAAAACAAAGATTAATTAAGCAAAGGACAAAAACATGACTATATTTACTGGGAAAGTCAAGTTTATTTTATTAAAAATTTTATTAAAAGAAAAAAGTTCAGAAACAACTGTTATTCAAGAATACGGATGTCAGGCCAGGCATGGTAGCACACGCCTATAATCCCAGCACTCGGGAGGCTGAGGCAGGAGGACCGTTGCGAGTTCGAGACCAGCCTGGGCTACAAAGTGAGCTTAAAGCCAGCCTGAGCTGCATAGCGAGACCCTGTCTCAAAAGGACCAAAAAAAAAAAAAGAATACGGATGTGAGAGCAATCTGGCTGCGACAGCTGTCACCCTGCTGACTGCCAGGGTTGGTTTGGCTGATCTGGCTGGCTAGGCGGGTGTCTCCATCCTCCCTCACCGCTCCATGTGTGTCCCTCCTGAAGCTGTGCACTCAGTCAAAGAGGACAACCGCCCCCCACTTCCTCAGTCAGGGATATGAGCAGCTGCTCTCCCTTGCTAGAACTTCCAAACAAGCTCTCAAGAATATATGAGAAGTCTATGTAGGTAAAAATGGCTAAATGTCCAGCACAAAAAGCTCCGAAGTCAGAATAGAGCTACATGTTTCATATTTTGTTTTAAAAATTAAATGTAGTAACACAATCAGATCTATATTTCAATGAGTCTTCATTTTCTATACCTATTTTAAACATTTTTTAATTATTTCAAGCTATATGTTAATATTATAGACAGTAAGTAGGAAAACCCCTTCTATTATCCCTTGTTTTCTCTAGACAGTAGTATCAAAGTCACCTGGGCCGCTGCTGAACAGGTAAACTTATTGACCCACAGAAGATCTACTGACCCAAAAGGTTAAGTCCAGAAAGCATTTCAGAACCACTGCCACAGAGTCAGCACTGTGGTGTGCGCGCACTTTCCCATGACTTAGTGGACAATGTGTATATGTGTGCCGATTTTTTTTTTTTTTGGAGACAGGTCTTGAATCTGATCTTGAAGTTGCTATGTAGCTCAGACTGGACTCAAACTCATACTTCTGCTTCAGCTTCCTACCCAGCTGTATAGTAACATTAACGTAAAATAAATATTTATTTTTTAAATAAACATATCAAAATATATTAAATATTTAAAATTAAATATTTAATGTTTTTAAATAAACATATTAAAATTAAACATTAAAAATGTTTCATTGAGCAATATCATCAAACTTCGATTTATTTTTTCTTTTTCTAATGACAAAAACTACATATTCAAGGTGTCTCCCATACTTGTCACATATGTACACTGTGCAGTAATTACCACTGATCAAATTCATAAACACATGCACCTCCCCACATACTGTCCTCTGTGTATGTTTATGTGCATGTGAGAGTAGTTGTTATGGCTAGTATCTAGATATCCCCTCTAAGTCTCATGCCATCATAGGTGGGGCTTTTTGTGGGTGGTGGGATTTAGAGTATGTGATATGTGTTACTCGGATTAAGGATGTGTGGTACTAAATTAGTCTGCTGACTGGAATTAGCATAGTTCTGGGTGACACCATCCAAAAGGCTGGCAGCCTGGATGGGATAAAGGGGAAAGAAAGGCATGCTGGCTGCTTGTTGCTCGTTGCTCTCTGCCTTCCACACCATGAATTCTTTTCCTCTCCAATGCCCCTATGCCATGCCACAGTGCCGTGGACCCAGGCAATTATGAACTGAATCCTCTACAAACTGTGAGTCAAAACAAACTTTCCCTCCATTATCTTGCGGGTGTTGCGTATTTTGTCTCAGCAACGAGAAAATTAACTGAGATACTGGGTTAAGCAAATTTCAAGTAAATAATATTAACCATCATCATAATGCTATACCTCAGATCTTTAGAACTTACTCATAACTAAAAGATTGCATGCTCTGACCAAATCTTCCCATTTCCCCCAATTCCAGAGCCTGAAAACCACCTTTCCACTCTGTTTCTATGAACTCAACTTTTAAAAATTCTACATACAAGTGAAATCATGCAGTATTTATCTTTTTGTGTGTGGCTTATTTCACTTAATGTTCTCTAGGTTCACACATGTCGACAGTGATAGGATTTCCAACATTTTTCATGGCTAGAAAATATTCTGCTATGTGAGCATGTATGTATGTCCTACAACGAACACTTGGGTTGTGCCTATACCTTAGTTATTGTCAATATTGCTACAATGAATATGGGGGTGCAGATATCCCTTTGATATACTTTACTGAGAGACGTATTTTCATTTCTTTGGATATATATCCAGAAATGGGATTGCTGGATTGCATGACAGCTATATTTTTATTTTTTTAAGGAGCCGCCAACTGTCTTCTGTAATGACTGTCCAACTTACAGTATTACCAACAGTCTACAAGCGTGCCCTGTTCTCCACATCCTCATCAACACTTGTTACTTCTTGTCTTTTTGGCAACAGTCAACCTGATAGGTGAGAAGCAGTATGATTTTAATTTGCATTTCCCTGATGATTAGTGCTATTTAGCACCTTTTTGTACATCTGTTATATATTTCTAACAAATAATTTGAAACTAATGTCAATAACAGCACCAAAAAGTGGCTTAGAGGACCTGTAGCCATTACATGCATAATCTGCAGTATCTACCAGTCTGGTCTCCCTTACCTGTTCTTCAATATGAACAGCTGACCCTTCAATGTAAACCATTATTAGAAATGCAATTCCAGTCAAGTTTATTTACCTGCATAATCAGATTGCATTCTCTTTCAACTAGAAAAATTCTGGAGCCAATAACAGTACAAGCAGTAAAAGAACTATGCTTAAAAATTTAGCAAACTTTCACAGATGAAATTCTATTTGAAATAATACAACTAAGTTCATTTGTGCTACATAAAGCCAAAGAACCTTACATTATAAAGTACGTATTCAGGCTGACGATGCAGCTGAAATAGTAGAGCACCTGACTGACACGCATGAGGGTCTAGGTTCGATGCACAGCACCACCATCATCCAAAAAACTTCCTATTAACATGTAGCATGACCTAACATACTTATCTATGTATATATTTATTGTCTCCTTCAACTAGAATACAATTTTGTTCATTGTTACAACCTCAATGATTGAAAAGTGTCTGATTATACTGGATACTCAGTAAAATGTATTTGATGAATATCAGCCAGAAATTTTAATTTCCTAGGACAGTCAGGGCCTAAATATGGCTGGCATCCAAGTAAATATTACTAATAGTAGCCTAAGGGAACTTTTCTAGTATTAGGAAAAAGTCCCCACTTCAATTAATATTTTAAAAGAAAGACAACTACAGTTTTTATGAGGGGATATAGTAGAATACATACCAGTGCATTTCCTTCTGGGATTGATTTCGTTTGTGGATAGCATCTCCATTTATAATATCTCGGTTACTATTAGTAAGTACACCTCCAAAATCATAAGGACCTATAAAAACAAAGGGAAGAATCCTAGACTTCAACTGGAGAGTAACTCTGACCTGATGTTCAGATGCAAAAGTACTGTGTGAATCTCTCACTGGGACAGTGGAAGATAATTATGAAGCATTTTAATTATTTTTAAATTTTAATTTAATGCAGTATTTAAATGATTTCAGCATGCTGCTGGTATCAATTCTTTTAAAAAAATCATTTAATTATTTAGTAGTTCTTCAACATAATATAATAAGAAACAGAACAAGAATCTACTGTATCCCATTTAGGGACAGATGGATGGATGGAGAGTATGCATCCAGATTAATTAATAGAACACAGATCTACTATGTTCAGAATTACTATCAGCTGGGCGTGGTGGCACATGCCTGTAATACCAGCACTAGAGAGGCTGAGGCAGGAGGATCATTTTGAGTTCAAGACCAACCTGGGCTACAAGTGAGCTCAAGGCCAGCCTGAACTGGATAGTGAGACTCACCTCAAACAAAACTTAAAACTCCAGTTTACCAAATTACTTTACAAAGACCATTGCAGTCTGAAATCTTAAGCTCTTAAAATAAATCCAACTTTAAATGAAGCCACTAATTATAAAATTAAGGGAGAAATTTAAATGGTATGGGAAATTTCTCACTGACAAAAATTTCCTTTTTATAACAGATATTGCCAAATTTCAGCATGTGAAGAATCCACTATTATAACTATCAGCCACATTAGTTCTGGTTTTGAAGTTAGCTGTTTTCCACTACTCATGGGAATCAGGTAACTCTTATTTAACTGGGACAGCAATTTGGCATGTCTGAATTCTTTCTCTTAAAGAATCATTCCATTATTACATACTATACTTTGAAAAATTAAAATAAGAGGACAGTATGTTAAGCAGAGACATAGAAACCTGATTTAACAATATATGACATGGAAATAATTATTTGTAAATAACATTATTAGCTTTATTACACGCGAAGAAACTGTTAAATGTAAAAAAGGTATTATATTCTTTTAAAATATCACTACAAGGATAGAGACTATAAATTTATTTACTTTGTTTTTGTTTTCACACTTTAAAAGAATCTGTAGGTCATGCAAGGAAGATGGCAGGGGCATGCACATTATAAAGGAATGCAGATTTCAACAAACAGATGAGTAGGAAAATGTTAAGAAAAAAATTTTCCTCCCAAATTTAATTGCCTTATTTAAATCTGAGTTACTCATCTATTCTGACCAATTTCTGGACTCATACATGTTGGATAATTTTAAGATTTTATTCTGAAACAGCATCCCAATATTCTACAGACTGAATCAATAAAAACAAAATAAAGGGCAAAAAAGGACTAAAAACATCATAACAAGGACTTGAACTTTCACAGTTACAAAAGTATACTGATTTCTACAAAGACGTAATGCAATTTAGTGATGTGAAGTTAAATAATTTTGCTTGGTTATCCATTATTCTTTTCAACTTAAAACATCAAATCCCATGTGATGCTTTTGGGCAAAACTGATAGTGAACCATGCACTTAATATATGAATTTTCTAGTGCTTTGTTATACCTCAAAGTATAACATTCCAGGATATAAAACAGACTAGGGTATCTGCAAGATTGTCATATCAATGACAGATCAGGTTTTAAATTTGGAAGCCTCTGTAGAAAGCCTGAGCCACCGTCTTGTAGAAAACAGAAAATTCAAGCCCTGCTCACAACAGGGAGCATTCCTTTATTGTACCTTCACTATCAGAACGACCTGTGGGAAAAACTCCAGTGGCTGACAGGTAGATCAGAAGCACACTATTGGCAGGCAGCTCCTGGAATTAAAGAAAATCACATATACAAAACAAAAAACCGGGATAACAACACAGAAGTATTTAAAAGTCAAGACATTTAAAGTTGCGGATAACACAAAAATTTAACATACAATTGTTTCTCTGAGGGAAGAGTCACCCTTGGTGGTTCTGACTTAGAATCATCTGCACAGCAAAAGTTCCGTATTGATTTGTAACGTACAAGGGTTCCCAAAAGCTGTAAAGACATTCTCTGCTTCCTTTCCCAACATTTAGAGAATGATCTGTGTAAACTTGAAATGGAGAAGTAAAGATCTACATTATACATCTAAAAGACAGACTCCCCCTCAGCTTTGGGGAGAATGTTCCTAATTTTTCATCATTCCTTCAGATGACCAAGACATTTCGCCAGGAGTGGTGGAGCACGTCTGTAATGGCAGCACTAGGGAGACTGAGAAAGGAGGATTACCCTGCATTTGAGGCCAGTCTGGACTACAAAATGAGACCCTGTCTCAAAAATAAAAACAAAAAAGATGTTTTACAGGGCTGCCTGAATATATGTCATGCTATGTATTCTGCTCTTGTTTTTCAGTTCTGCACTGACTGTTACACCTAAAGTAATTTAGTAATAAAAACCTGGAATAAAGAGAATGATAATCAATATTCTCCTTAATTCATGGTAGGAATCATTCACCACATCGTAAGCAATTTTCATTTCAAAAACTGCCATGTTAGGATCGTTATTCTAAAGATGTTTTAATTTTTGTGTTTTACCCAAACTCTTAATTCAAATATTTAGAGAAGAGTGATTTAAATTCCCCTTACAGCATACTTTTCCTGTGTAGTAAGAAGTACTGGGTCGGGCTAGGGATTTAGCTCAGTGGCACAGCGCCCGCTTGGCAAGTGCGAGGATGTGAGTTCGATTCCCGGTACTGGAAAAAAACCACCACCACCAAAAAAAAGAAGAATTACTGGGTCACTCTTACCTTAAAAGATGCTGCTAAGAATGTGTAGAGCTGGCTGAAGGTTGGTTTGTAGAGCAGATACTTATGGGGGTTTTCTCGTCTGGTAGGCTTGTCAGCGGACTCCTATATTTACACACAGAAAACAGCACACATACAAGCTATGTTTGACAGATGAACGATTAATACCTATTTTCTCTTCCCTACCACGTATCCTTCTTTTCCTCAGTGTTACTGGAATTATGCTTATTGATTTCTCTGTGTCCAATCAGGAGAGTTCTTTGTCCACATTTCCTAGCATTTGCTGAACGGCAGGCTGTACCCCGTGAAGAGCAGAAGCAGCAAGAATGTCACCACCTTTGCAAATATAGGGAGCAGATCACCTGCATTCCTGGCTTGTTCATCTGAGAGGCTAAGTTCATTGGCTCCCTTTCCAGGGCTTGTAACATCCGGAACATGTCAACAGTTAGTTCACTGAACTTAACCTGCAAGAAAGACAAACCCGGTCATCAATCCATAGACCTGGAGATCTTAAATCACACTATTACTCTGGACTTCTATGTATGCTTAATGACAGTGGATAGCCTATCCTCTAACACCGAATATAAAAAGTAAAACAATAAAAATTAGAAAGGGTGAAAGAACTACGTGGTGATGCTTATATACATCTGGGTTCTGTAGTTAACATTTTTATGCTTCATCACATCTCTCCATCTATATTCTTGCCAATTCATCAATTTCCTCATTGGTACTACAAAATATACCACTGTATCCTTTTCTTTGTATACCCTACCCTCTCCAGGACTTAGGGATTGAACCCAGGGCCTTTTCACTGAGCTACACACACAGTTTGTTCTCTCTCATTCATTCATTCATTCACTCATTCACTCACTCACTCACTCACTCATTCATTCATTCTCTCTTCTCTCTCCTTCCCTCCCTCCATCTCTCTCACCTACCCATCTATCTGAGACAGTGTCATGCTATGTATCCCAGGCTGGCCTTGAACTCACTATTTGGCTCAGGCTGGCCTTGAACTCATGGCAATCCTCCCGTCTTAGTCTCCTGAGTGCTGGGATTACAGGCATGCAACACCACACTTGGATCTTTTTTCATTTTTTGTTTTGAGACAGGGTCTCACTAAGTTGTCCAGGGTGGGCTCTAACTTCCAATCTTCCTGCCTCTGGTTCTCAAAGTGTTGCAGTTACAGATGTGTACCACCATGCCTGAGACTAAATCCTTTTCCTTTTTGTTGGTATTGGGAATTGAACTCAGGACCTTGCGCTTACCAGGCAAACACTTATGCCACTGAGCTATATCTCCGGCCCATCCCTTTCCAATTTTAATAGTATTTATATGGAAATTCAGGTACACATATGAGGATAAAACAAAAAGAGTAGGTGTGGTAGAACATGCCTGCAATCCTGGAATTTTGGGAGGCTAAAAGAGAAAGACTGCAAACTTTCAGCTCAGCCTGGGCAACTCAGCAATTTAGTGAGACCCTATTTTTAAGAAAAAATAAAGGTTGGGTAGGTAACCCAGTGCAAAGACTTTGAGTTCAAGCCCCAGCAAAGAGGGGGAAAAAAAACCGACAGTGTTTTAAAGTACCTGTTTCTAAATCAAGTGTAGTGGCACATGCCAGAATACCAGTACTCAGGAGGCTGGGTTAGGAGAATCACCATAATTTTGAGGCTAGCCTGGACTAAACAGTGAGTTCAAGGCCAGCCTTGGCTACATAGTGAGACACTGAAAGAACCTGTTTCTGTGAAGTAAGAGATTTTTCGCCTCATATGGGGAACTAAAGCCTACCCCAGCCCTTTTTACTTTTCCTTTTAAAACATGGTCTCTCCAGGTGTGGTGCACGCCTGTAATCCCAGCACTCGGGAGGCTGCAGCAGGAGGATCGTTGTGAGTTGAGACCAGCCTGGGCTACAAAGTGAGCTCAAGGCCAGCCTGGACTGCATAGCGAGACCTTGTCTCAAAAAGACCAAAAAAAAAAAAAAAAAAAAAAAAAAAAAGACACAGTCTCACTAAGAGGCCCAATGGGAAAAGGAATTTTTTTTTTTTCTTCTGT